TCAGGTTATTCAGACCTAGGTCCTCGTAGTGCCCCGCGTCTTTCTGATAGACGAGCTTATGCTGATGATAGTTATGGGGGGAAGTTTGACCGGCCTTTACCGGCCTATAGGGAGGGCCATGGCCGTGATTATGACACCATTTCTGGATCAAAGCGTCCATATGCAGATTTGGTGAGTGTGGTTTATTTGTTTAAAAATGCCCAGGCCTTGAAGTTTGGTTCTCAAATCAACTTAATCATTTTAATGTTCTGTCAAGGATGACGCGCCTCGGTATCAAGAAATTGGTGTTCGTCAGTCCAAGGCACGCTTAGACTATGACATTGGCAGCAGTGCTCGGTATGGAGATGCGTATAGCGAGAGGTTGGTGGACTCGAGACCGAAGTCTTTTCTTTTCTTTTTCGCCTAATCATTTATTCTAGGGTCCCTTTATTCTATTCAACATGCTACATTTTATCCTCATAGGCCTGGACGACCACATGCGGGATATAGCAGCAGCCGATCTATCCCTGTTCATGATTCAGCATATGGCAGCAGCCGTCATGGCATGAGTTATGGAGGTATATAGTCTTTGAAGCTCTGTTATTTTTTAGGGCACCTTTAGCCATGCACTTATTTTAATTTTCATAATGTCAATTTGCATTCTACTCTTGCAGGTTCTGCTAGCAGTGCTGATGCTGGTGGTATGTACCCACCGAGTTACAGTGGTAGCTATGGGTCTCATGGATCTGATGTGAGTATGAAATACATCCAATTTTACTACTAACTTTTTATTTGGGATTCCCGAGTTCATTTGAATTTTGCGTTTGGGCAGGTTGGTGGGAGTTCATATTCTTCGCTTTACTCCTCGGGCCGCAATTTGGGTAGCAGCAGTGGTGGCTACTATGGAGGTAGCGGTTCCAGTTCATATTACTAAGGTGCAAAATCAAATCTTTCCGCCTTTCCCCAAGTTTGTTTCATCATGCTTAAATTATTTGTACCGTCTATCACACATGCACACATCATGGTGCTATTGTTGGGGATGAGAAATGTTTCCCCTTGTGTATCAAAGATGCGGGAAGTCCAGAACCATAAACTACTTTAATTACACAGATTTGGCATCACTTCGTCTTTGTGGAACAGATTTGGCATCATAGGACGTTGGTGTAGGCCCAGCATTTTATGGAGCTCCTTGATTTAAGCCCTACAGATCTGGAAAAGAAGTGCCAAGCACCCAAGTGAGGCAATGTTTTCAAATAAGACATTTCAACGAAGCCAGACCATCGAGTTGGTTGAAGCAGTAGTCCTGAGGATGTTCTGGCTTGTTTATGTAATGTAAGGATTTGCTTTATCTGGTCAAGAGTTATGAACATAAGAGCCAGATATGGTGTTTTAAGTGTTTCGACATGTTTACTTCCAGTGTTTCTATAACGTTATTGAGACAGAAATGGAGTGTTCTTTGAGGTAGTTTCTGCAATTCAAGGTATTTGGGGATTACATCTTGTGATGTGCTGGCAAAGATCAGGCTTACAAAAGAAGCTTTACAAGGAGTGCTTCTTGTAAGGCTGTTAGTTTCTGAAAACCTTCCCTTCTTTTCTCTAGAGGATCAATAATTGCCAAGACAGAATGTTGATTGGTCAGACTTAAATTCTGGACTCCTATGTTGCATTCCAGATACAAATGGTTTTATCGGTTGCCAAAATTTGAGAGAAACCGCTTGTGTGGCAAAAATTTCCCCAAGCAGTTACTTTGGCTTCTCCAAAGTTTAAGATAACAGAACTTGAAGCAAAAGGACATTTGATATTGAGTATAGCCTTGCAATACTATGACTATATAGAGCACAAGGCATCAGGTAAATTTAACAAGCAGTGCCAGTATTGAACACCACCCTGGTTTGATCACCCACCATTTATGAAATTCCTTTGAACTGCTTTGTGGAGTATGGATTACTAACAATTTTGAGATTAATGGGTTTTGGATGATTGCAAGCTTTCAAGAATCTTGCTGGAGGCGTAACACACTAACTGATCAAGTTACAGAAAAAGTATGATTTGTCTGACACCATTAATTTCTCTGACATAATTTCATAACATAGTTTGGACCAAACATGTAGCTCAATATTGTCACACTTAGGCTTTGAAACCCACCACCATGTGTGATATATCTTATTGGTCTAATTTGTGATAGCATGTTTGTTTTGTGGATCATTTTTACCAAATGATAACTTACTGCACCAACTTTATATAAGTTGAAGAAACAAGGCGTGCTTTGTTGCTGTGTTTTGACAGTGACTAATTCTGCACGGCATCCTGCAAAGTAGCTGAAAGATGACTAGTAATATCAATACCCCAGCTATACAGGCCGCAGAGAGCTTAAACCTGAGCTTAACTTATAACTTCTGGTGTCATCCTTCTGTGAGGTTTAACAAGGAAACCTCATGCACTAACTTCGGATTTACTTGATCAATTGAGCTAGGAATAATAACGCTATTGGATCCTGAGGTCAGACTGTCAGAGACGATTTCGTCCTTGGAATTGGTTTTTGGAGATAACCTAGTGATGACACTGAGTAGGATGAAAGATCAATATGTAGTTTCATGAAGAGGCTGCTCTGAGATGGCTTTTGCAGTATTCAGAAACACATTTTTGTGAGCTTATCGATGTACTTTGAGGGCCATTATTTGTTACTTATGTGTTAGTAGTTATTGGAATAGGACTTCATGAGGGAAAATGATGATGGTATTAGATCTAGCAGAACTGTTGATTGCCAAATGTGCACAGAAGGAATACTTTATGCAATGGCATCAATGAGTTTGATTACTGGGGGCCAGAATGTGGGAATCAGCACCTGCTGGTGCTGCTGCCTGGTTTGATGCTCATTTGAAAAAAGGGCAAGGAGATTATTTTTCCTTGATGGGGCAAGGATGATAGGTCTGAAAGCAGCGTGGCATGGAAATATTTTTCTTGAAAAACAGTAGGCACAGGATTAAGTACAAGAATACTCCATTCAAATTCTGAGTTGAAGGGTCTTGAATTTTTCCCCTCTTGCTGGAGCAAACTCAAGGATCTAACACAGTTTAGTCTAACTATTTAGTTAAGTATTCAACATAAAGATATTTTGGAATCACAATAAGCTTTTTTTTTTGGAATTGTAACTTTGTAAGGCTGCACCATTAGTCCATATCAATTTGACCATCTGAAGGGCATAATTTCCATTGTTTTTTTTTTCTGTTATTCACATGGTATTTTAGTAATGTTATTATCAAAGCAGTTGTTGATGCTACCATTGCTACCTAATAACATGCTACCATTGCTGTTTTGACGCTGTTACTTGCTTTTCATGCTAACATGGCTTCAATGTTATCATTGTTTTTGAGCCCTTTGAGAATTGTAGCCACCAGCATGCCTCTCCAAAGACGTGGGTCAAGGTTCAAACCTGTAGTGGTTGCTGTCAAAAGCAGCCAGATTTCTTAACTCTTGTGTGATGTTGTAGTGCTCTCTAGTTTACCAATTTGAGCTTGTAAATAACACTGTAGGCATGAACGGAACCAAATGTACAAAAATATAAAATGACATATGGAGATATACTGACGTTTGTCCCGCGTCGTCTGAATTTGCTCCCAATTTGAGCTTGTAAAGAGCACTGCAGGCATGAAAGATACCAAATGTACAAAAATATAATTAAGTGTTCATATGAAATGTCATATGGAGGTATACTGACGTTTGTGACGCGCATGTGAATATGATAGTTTTATTCTCGGTGGTTGTCGACATATTTGGCTATACGTTGGACTGGCGGAGGGCTGTGGAGGCCAAGCTGGGCGCTGGCCCCCCCCATCCTCCATGCACTTTCGACTGAAATTTTTCGTCTGTGCTCCTTAGCATTTCTACCAGACGTATAAAATTAGTGTTAGCTTGTTGAATGTAAACTCAATCTGACAGATTGGCCCCGTCTTGGTTTGGCACCACGCGCCGCCGGTTGTTGGTTTTGAATTTCCATCTTCCCGTGGCCACGCCGTGCAGCTCTGTGCGTCTGGCCTTCAGGCCTTCCGACCATGTTTCTGATGTTCTTGTGTGTGATGGGGACTGCCTCATGGTCATGAGAGATGCCGAGATGGCCATGGCCGATCATGCCGTGTCCTCGTCACCTTGGTGCCCTACGTCTTGGCTCGATGCTCAGATGGATGGAGGCGATGGTGGTGCGCGACTGCCCCGTCGCACACTTCAGAAAGTTCAGCTGACGGCTCCATCGCCCAATCCTTCTCTTTAGTGAACTGTCGTTGACATGCCGGGCAGCTCTCGCTGCCTGATATTTTCTACTATTATACGCATTGATGCGTTCCACGCTGCCGGCAGCAGCACGCGACCACCTTTACACCCGGACGCGGGCACGCGGCACGTCACATCACGTCGCCCTTGTGGTGTGGCCACGCCGCGTCGGCGTCGGCGTCGGCGTCGGCCCCCCGTCGCTTGGTCACACACGGACACGGCCCCTCCGCGCACGCCGAAGCCGCGCCCCCGCGAGTCGCCTTGCCGCTGCCGCACCGCTACCCCCAGAGGTGGGCAGGTCGCACGCGCCGCATGCCGCCGTGCGCGGCCAATCGCACGACATGACGACCACCGCTCACCGTCCCCGCTCCAGAAGCCAAATTCCATTTCGGCCCCGACACCAAAACATAATTACCAACAAGAGGACTCAGGCGACGATTGGAGTCCACGGGGGCGGCCCGCCCGTGATCCGACGGCCGTCGCGCTCGCTCCCGACGCATCGCAGCCGCCCAGCAGCCGAAAAGGAAGGGGACGGAAGCCCACCGCGAAATTTTACGCGCCGCGCGGGGTGTCGGTCAAGGTGCCCCCACGCGCCGCGGTTGGCGCCGCCGCCGCTGCCGCCCACCGCCGCCCGCGTGCGCCCACCGCCACCTGTTGCCGCCTAAGGGGAACGCCTCCGTTATAACCCACCGCACCATCCATGCCGTCCTCCACCACCGCTTCACCATCCCCTCCAGGCCCACCACCACCACCACCATGGCTTCTCCTTCCCCTCCTTCCCCCGCCCGCGCCTCCGGCCGGCGCGTGCCGCCCCCGTGCTGGACGACCGACGAGACCCTCGCGCTCGCGCGGGCCTACACCGCGCGCCGCCTCGCCGTCGGCCGGGAGCACCTGACCTCCGCCGACTGGGCCGCCGTCGCTGCGGCCGCCCCGTCCAAGACCGCCAGGCAGTGCCGCCACAAGGTCGAGAAGCTCCGCCGACGCCTCCGATCCAACCGCCGCCGCCCGTGCCCGCTCCTCGACGCCATCGACCTCCTCGACGGCCCTTCCCCGCCCTTCTTCTCCAAGTCCCAGTCCCGATCCACATCCCTGTCCTCGTCGCCGCCGCCGCCGGCGGTTTCTCCGCCGTTTCCCCCGTCCCCTCCCGCATCCCCGCCCAGGAAGAGGCGGCGGGACGATGCCGGGGACGAGGACGGTGTGAGCGACGTGGTGGGGGCTCTGAGGGCCATCGGGGAGGGTTTCCTGCGGGCGGAGGAGAGGAGGATGGAGGCCGCCCGGGAGATGCAGAGGATGCGGATGGAGATGGCGCTTCGGCACCTTGATGCACAGAGGAGGCTCATGGACGCGCTTGTCGGCCGCATCGTCGATGCCTTGGACTGAAGTGGTGGCACAAAGGTGTCTCCTCAAGGTTTCCTGCTTGTCCTCGTTGCACGCTGGCTTGCGAGTTTAGGAGTTTCTTAGTGCTGTTTATATGTAGTAGCTGTGATGGATCTGTGATGTAGTTGAAGCGGACAAGCCTTAGTGTTTTTTCAGTCTTGTATTTGCTTAAAAGGAGAGTTTCTTATGGATGAAGAAGTTGTCTTGCCTGTTCCACATCTGTTGACTACTTGCCTCCTTATTTTCGTTTTAAATTTGTTTGATTTTATGTTCTGATGATAGTAACATATAACTAGTGATAACCTAAGGATGCTAGAAGATTAGAGCATTGAGTTCTGATAACAATTGTGTTTTCGGGCCCTGGACTTCTAATTCCTAGAAAAGAAAGAACACAACTGTCATTGCTATATCACAGATTTACATCATAAAAAAAACCTTTGCTACCTTTGCCCCTGTAACATATGTGCAATAATAAACTGAACTCAAGAAGCAAAATAATGAACTGGAGATTTTTTTTTTCAGGGACTGTATTTTTTTCAGTCATTTGCTAGTGCCTCAACCTGTCAACTGAGGTCTGAGGCCAATAGTATCCTTTATATTTTTCATTTGAGATCCTGAATGAAATCTCACTACTGGGTTCCACTTTGCTGGTTGCATCAACCTATATGTTTGAGATAATCATGCCAAGGTTTCATTTTCATTTACGTCCTCCCAGCAGTATGTAAAACACGTCTATGAAGAATTTCCTGTCCTGAAGTTGGATATCTCAATGACTGGATGGAAAAAGGGGGAGGCAATATTGGTTCTCAACATCCGCATATTAACATTCCTTGGGTCCATGATTGCTGCATCAAATATACATTTTGATACAATTAGTGGTACCGAAGCAAAAATCCTCAAGATAAGGTTGCACAGATTTCCCTTGAAAAGTGAGGCAAAAGTTTACACTCACCTCTTGTATGTAAAACTATTGGTAAAATTGAAGAAGTTGGATTCTACATGCTCTTCTTTATATAATGAGGTTATTCTTGAAAGACATGTTCCACTTGAAAAATTGCACGGTACAGAAAACGAACATGACTCTTAGCCACATGAATTATTTATGTTGGTTACAGATCCTTCATCAAGATGTGTGGCAGTGCTGATAGGCGGTAATCCCGACCTTCATTTTATCCTTTATTGACCACCTTTTCTAAGAAAATAACTTCTGTGGACACTATGTAGTGCCTTTTTTTATTACTTTTATGTGCTTCCTTTTGCAACTAACAATTCTATTTGTGTGAATAAGAATAACCATTCTCTTGTCGTTGGGTTTCTACTTTGAATCCTTCTCATCTCAGGACAATGTTTCTGCGTGCACATGTGTTTTGTGTACATGAATGTTCGCTACTGACAGTGGTATCTTTTCTTTCTTCTTTCTTTCTTTCTTTCTTTCTCATTTTTCAGGAGAGTCAACTTTTAGATGATGATTATAATTTGTCACATACTACTCATGTTTCTCTTTGGCAGGGCTCTGGCTTCTCCAAACGATGAAGCCAGGGAAAGCCACATTTTTGTGCTTTGGCTTCTAGACGAAAAAACGGCTTCGGCTTCATCATTTTTTGCTTGGTTTTGGCCCCCGACAAAGCCCTGCCAAAGAGGGCCTTAGAGAGAAGGGAAAGGCTTTCCATCTATTAGGCTAGCTTTCTGCAGAGCTGCAAGTTTAGTTACTTTGAATGACAAATCTGGGACTCTAGGTATTCTGTGGCCTGCTACAGTTCTGTTATTGTTCAGAAACTTCTTATCCAGTGAGAACAATACATGGGTACTCAAAATTTTCCAAGTATTTTATAAGTTTCGGTTCAGAACTGCAATCTAATAGTTCTGTTTGTTGTCAGCGGATTTGGTGCAGATGAAGGCACCACTAACCACTTAAGCACGGTCTTGGACTCACCATCAGAGTATGTGGTCCTTAGTATGCTGGCATCCAGTCCTTTGGCTCACTGTGCTGTTCGACAATTGGGTTACCACTTGAGATGAGCATTAAGAAATAAAAACTGAGGTATGCACATTGACTCGATGAAGCATGCTGATTTGAAAGCATGAATACGCTCCATGATGTTCGGCTTTACTCCCGCATTCCATCATGTGTGGTCCTTGAAATTTCAGTACAATTATGTATGTATGACAGCCATTGTTTAGGGTTATCCTGTATCACTATTTAAAAGCCTAGTCTATTGAATATTTTCATCTCATGAGTCCTACGTGTCTTGATAAATTGTGAATACGTTCTTCCTTAGGAATGAACTTGATGTATCTTTTGAAATTTATATGGAGTCTCTTTTTATTTATAACATGAATACTGGTTATTTAGTTCTCAGAACTGAAATTGTCTGCTATGCTTCTTGTGAAAATTCTCATCTAGTTAACATCTTTTCCTCAACCAGTAAGGTTAGAGGATGTGCTTGTATGATCTATTTGTTCTTGGTGAGGAACTGACATTTTTTCTCGAACACGCAGGAGAGTTGTGTGCCTTTAGGCATCAAACTCTATGGCATGAAAGGTGAATGGTATCAATGTGTTCATGTGTTAAAGCTATCTGAGACTCTGAGTGAATCCTTTCTCCATACTAATGGAAATAATGTGAGTGAAATAGTATCAGTAATTCTGAAGTCTGAACACAGAATATTCATTTTAGTTTTCTCTGTTTATTTCTCTCCATGTCATGAGTTAGACAGAAAAGCAAAATCATTAACTTTAGCTTCTCATGTTTCATTAACAATGATTTTTATAGACTACACCAGTGCTTGTACATTTTTTAGGACATACTTTCCAGTAAACTTGGATATGATTATCTTGTTTTGTATCCTCACTCCTGCTCCATCATACCAGCTGCAGGTGAAAGTAGTTTCTAGCTGGGGCAAGTCATGTTTGGTAGTTTCCTGCATTCGCATTCTAGGGCGTTGTCATTTGTTGTGGTGAAAATAGATAGATTTTCAAATAATTGGTCAAACAAAAACATGCCTTGCACAATCCTGCATATGTACCTCGAGTAAAAAGTAACACATGCCAATGGTTTTGGGCCAATCAGAAAGCACAAAAGCAGGAAAAAGGAGGGATTAACCTAAAGCAAAAGACTCTTTTGCACCATCTTTAGGCCTGAGACCATCTCCAAGATGGCCTAATTGCCAATCTATTGAGCTCCAATGTAACTTCTGGCATACCCCGCCACTGCTAAGATATGTCCAGATTTGCATGATGGATCATTGCATTGACAATCTCATTTTCTTCTGCAGAGTATGTGGAGTGCACCCCATAGCAGACATAGAAAACTATGATCACAAGGCTCCAGATGCCGAACCTCTGGTATGATCTCATCTTGAGAGTGGTTATCAGGAACACATTCAGGAAGACAGATGCAGCAGCAGGCCATGGCATTAGAGGGACCGACCACTCCAATGGGGGTCCAGTGATGTCCTGCCGTGCTGTGCAGTGGAAAATGGTGGTGATTGCTATGGAGATTGCCCCAAACAGCGTCATCCCCCACCGGCACCACCCATCGATCTTCCTCGAGAGGGAGAAGCCGAGAGAGCTCAGCGTGAGGAGCAGCAGGAAGAGGAGGACATGCAGGGGCCGGTTTGTGCCGATCTTCACATACCGGTGGTAGATGAGTGCGTTGGCGACCAGGTAGAAGACCAGCAGAGTTCCGATGGATATCATCTCGAACACTATTTGCAGCTCCGTGAAGAGTGCTAATGATGCAGTGCAGAACCCTGGGCAAAGAAAGTGCTAGGCTGTAAGAATGTACTGCAAAAAAAAAAAAAAAAGGCTCTGGATTATCTAGTGACACATCTTTTCCGTTAACCAGTTAATGGAAATGGGACTTGTCTCGGGTGGAAAAAAAAAATCTAGTGACACATCTGTGACTATGGATATATCATTGCCAAGAGTTAATTTACATCCATTAAGACCTTGATTTTACTATAGTTAATGTATACTGATCTTAACATGCTCTACCTATAGAAACAATAAGTTTAACTCAAATCATGGGAGACACTGCTTGTTATGTGGACTTTGCCCATCGATGTTGGAAGCCCATATCAGAGCATCAAAGCAAAAGTGAGGCTAATCTAGTGCAAGAGGGGCAGCTTATTATATGGATCACTTGGTCTAGAGTAGGTTTATTTTGTAAGTTATCTTGAGACTCATAAGCCTATGACTTTAACTATTATATTTACTACTCCTACTTGCTTGTCCCTTTTTCTACACATGTATACCAATTCTCTTCTCTCACTCACTCCTTTTTTTTCTGGGAATGATGCATTATGTATGTAGTTCTCTTAACACTAATTATGTCACCATTCCAACCATTTGGGAGTTAAAACATTTATACTCAATAATTATATCACCATTCCAACCATTTGGGAGTTAAAAGTTTCAGCAGTCTTGTTGGGTGTACCTAGAAAGATGGTGGCGTTCATCGGAGTGCCTGTGGAAGGGTGGACCTTGGCGAACCACAGCGGCACGAGACGCGCTCTGGAGATGACGCACAGGTACCTGGCCTGCCCCAGCATCGCCACCAGCAGCGACGCCACGATGCCCATGCTCGCGCCGGCGCCAACCACGCTGCTCGCCCACCTCCACCCCACCTTCTCCCTGAACGCCGACGAGAACGGGGCGGCCTCCGATATCTGCAACAACGCAAGGCACGTACGGTGAGCCGACAGCCGAGAACAGTAGGCACCGAGCGAGCGACCGGCCAGGAGCGACGCCTGCGTATGCATGCATGGTCACACCTCCGTGTAGGGCAGCATCACGCAGAGGGCGACGGACATGAGGCAATAGAGCGCGGACACCACGAGCACCGAGCCGGCGATGCCGACGGGGAGCGCGCGGGAGGGGTCCCGGATCTCCTCGGCCATGGTGCACGCCGAGTCGTAGCCTATGTAGCTGAAGTAGACGATGGCGGCGCCGTCCAGGACGCCGCGGACGCCGTAGGGGGCCAGCCCGTCCGGCCGAACGAGGTTCCTCGCGCTGCCGTTCCACAGGCCGGTCGCGATGATGAAGGCGAAGAAGAGCAGGTGGAACACCGTGAGCACCATGTTCAGCATCGAGCTCTCCTTGGTGCTGCGTGCAGCAGTTTGCAAATTAAATCGGTATGGTCAATGATGCCAATATCTTTTGCAACGTGTGTTTTATTAATCTCTCTAGCTTAACGTTTCTTCCTTTTTTCCCCCCGAAGAGGCTAAACCTTGATTTCTTTTAAGTCAAACAACAGAGAACAAGTCATGCACAGAATTTGTACTACTATGTGTTCATCATAAAATATAGGAAGTAAGAACACACAGAACCCCATCTAAAGCAAGAACAAATGACAGTCTCAAAGAACAAATAAAACCAAATTAAAGGCACAAGTTAATGTGAGAGTAGCTTGAAAATGGTAGACCAGCGACGGACACATTAGTTACCTATAGCACAGGCATACGGTTATGAGGAGGATGAGCGCGACGGCCGGCACGTCCAGCGCATTGTACCCGTCGGCGATGCCGTCGACGACGATCCTCCACGCGTTGTGTTCCGTGACCCCGAACGTCGAGGCCAGGTAGTCCGTGAAGCTCCTCGCCACCGCCGCGTTCGACAGCACGTACTCCATCAGAATGTTCGCTCCGCCGAAAAACCCCACGAACTCGCCTGACAAAATAGGATTAGAGAGGGGTTTTGTGTTGCATTGTCCTTGTACACTCGTACTTGTCCTTTAATTTATTAGGACATCAACACATTTTACGGTACACAAATTTGACCGTTACATTTCATTCAAGTGCATGTTTTGTTGATTATTGTTTCAAAAAAAATGTTGTTGATTACAAATCCAATATTAGCTTGTCCTTTTTGAGAGACAGATGCAACTGATTCTTTTTAAACGTACAGTAGCACCACTTTTTTTTAAACAAAATTGCCGGAAGAACATGGACAACATCTAGCACGGTTAATAATCTCATAAGATTTCGGTCGTAGTTTCAACAAGAACAATATATATAGCAGCGTGAAACCATGGCGAGAAGGAAAGAGTAACCTACCGAACGTTACTCTGAGGTAGCTGAAGGCACCGCCGGCGACGGGGACGCGCACGGAGAACTCGGCGTAGCACAAGGATGACAGCAGCGCGGAGACGCTGGCGATGACGTAGGACACGAAGACGGCGGGCCCCGCGGTGTCGCGCGCCACCCTCCCCGTGGTGACGAAGACGCCCGCGCCGAGCATGCCGCCGACGCCGAGCCCCACGAGGTCGTACCACTCGAGCCGCCGCTTCATGCGCGGCCCCGACCGGTCCCGCACCTCGTTCAGCTCCTGCGCCGGCGTCCACGTCACCAGCGCCCTCCTGCGCAGCCGGTGCGGCGTCTGCGCTATCGACAGCAGCACGTCGCGCAGCGCCATTGGCACGCCCCTAGCTATCTTGATGGCTTGCTGGGCTCTTGGTGGCTCTCGGTTAATTTCTTTTCTCCTCCTCCTCCTCCTACTCCTCTTGCTTGCTCTTGGTGGCTTGCGTTTTCTTGATCTGTGGCTGTGTCTGGCTGGGTGGACGTAGCCGGGGGACGATCGAATCGAGCTCGGCTACTATTTATACGAGAAGAGAGGAGGGCATTCAAGTTCTTGGCCACTCAGACGGTGGGCAATGAAGTCTCTGCGCTTGTCCAGCTTTTTGGCGTACTGGCCTCACCATCGCGAGCTTAGCTAGCCAACCCAGCACCAGAAGATGGATGCTTGCGTCCGTCAGTAACTGGGGAGAACCTTGCCTACTGGCTAATGGAGGAGTATCTAGCTCGCATGGTGGAGGACAGGAGGAGCAGCTTCAGAATTAAGGGGCGGTTTAGTTGGCGAAATTTTTTGAAAAATGATACTGCAGCATTTTCGTTGTTATTTGGTAATTAATGTTCAATCATAGTCTAATTAGGCTTAAAAGATTTGTCTCGTGAATTTCGTCTAAACTGTGCAATTACTTTTATTTTTTATTTATATTTAATGCTTCATGCATGCGTTCAAAGATTCGATGTGACGGGGAATCTTGAAAAATTTTACAAAATTTTGGGAACTAAGACTGACTCCAAAAACGCGACGCAACCGCAAAATTGCGTTCGCCACAGTGCATTTGCATTCTCAGAACCGGCTCCAACGGACGACGCAGAGCCGGCACACATTTTGGGTGGGAGGAGAGAGGGGAGGCAAATTTGCCTTCTCCCGCACGCTTGACCCAAAACTGTGGATAAGGCGGCGCGGCACGCCGGGGAGCACGGGCTCCTCACTGCAGCTCGACCCGAGCTCCGACGACGGGAGGAGCTGGTCGAGGTCACGCTGGACCATCTCGAGGACGCGGGGCTCGACGCCGTCACACCTCACTCCTTGCCGACGGCCTCGGCAAGGTCGCGCATGGCTGCTTCTTCCCCACGGTGATGACGGGCGACTCCTTCGAGCCAGCCGTCGCGGCTACTCCCATGGCCGGCGGCAAGGTGGGCTGGCTGGTGCGGCGTGGGTGAGACGGATTCGGCCCCCACCGTCCGCTACGCACCTCGCTCGCCTGCCTAGGAGGGGTCCCGCACCGTCGGAGGGAGGAGATAGAGGGAGAGGAGAGGGAGGCCGAAGGCAGCGGCACGCCGGCATAGAGGAGGACGCAGCCGGGCCGAAGGCAGCGCACAGAGGAGGACGCGGCCATCGGATCTTTTGCGTTGTCTGTTGGAAAGGGTGATGTTTTGAGTCCTAACCTATTGGCTGTGTGCGACGCAAATGATGAAATGTCTTTCGTTTTTAAGTCCCCACGGTTGGAGGCAGTCTAAACAGGCTCTAAGTGCCTGTCCTCTTGTTGCTGCTCGCTCGCCCTGCAGCGACCGCTGGAGCTCAGTGTGTGTGCGTTCCTGTCCGGTGCCAGGTGGACGGCCGTTCATCCGTGCGTGAGGCATGCATGTGCATGTTCGCCCAGAAAAACACTATACGCAGAGCGCACGCACATGCCAACACAGCTGGAGTTGCTGAGAGGCTTTTCTAGCTGCAGCCTGCAGGCTGCTGCGCGAAATGCTGCTGGTCTTGTCCCACTTCTCAGAGAAGTTTGAAAACCTTGGGGCGAAAGATGCTAGTAGGCTTACTTCGGCCTTGGTTAGTTGGTCAAATTTTGGAAATTAAGGTACCGTAGTACTTTCGTTTTTATTTAGTAATTAGTATTTAATTATGTACTAATTATGTTTAAAACGTCTGTCTCGTAATTTTAACTAAACTGTGTAATTAATTTTTTTTTCGTCTACATTTAATGCTCCATGCACGTATCGTAAGATTCGATGTGATGACTACTGTATTATTTTTTGGGAAAAGTTTTTGAAACTAAACGAGACCTCGGATGAAATATGGTTGCAGATTCAGGTACATATTCTCATCACTTCTGCATTTACTTAATCTTATACGCACAGCAGTAGCTTGCTGCTGGTACATATGCAAATGTGCTGTTTCTGACGGCTCCTGCATTTTCTATGCTGCTCACACATGGCACAGGGATTCAGGCTTCCAGCAGATAAATGCGGATGGATCTTGTGGCTTTTATAAATGGCGATGAAATCTGTGTACTAGGATGTGGTCATGTAGAGCACAGATTCTTGTACCTCTCATATTGACACCTAGCCTTGAAGGTAAGATTTTACTGGAAAGGTGACCATCTTTGGCTGATTTGGTGTGAGATTTATGAAATTTATGATCGCTTTACTGGAAAGAAGATTTATAATGTGAGGTGAGGTCAAATCTACATGAGCCCTACAAGGAGGGCTTGACCATCAGCCACCAATTGGCAATCACATAATCACTGCTCAATTTTCTCTCACAACAATCAGCCGGAACGGTATTTTTCAGTCCTGCCGAACAGGCCCGAGACCATCAGACCATCAATATACTAATGACCATGTACTAGGCAGCAGCAGGTGCACGAGCATGGTGACGTGTTGATATGCGATTGGCTCTCCGCGGAGAGCATGACTCAGGCACTGTCATCTGCAGGCTGTGATTACTTCAAATTCAAAAAACAAGAAGCTGCAGGTTGCTCCAAGTTGTTATCTTTTAACAGCCTGAATATGTTGTTTTGAGTTTTGTCTCCTGCAAGTAGTACCAATATCAATGTGCAGTTACTAACTTTCAATTAAAACAGCACCAAATGCCAGAGCTGAACTGAAAGGTGAGAAAATGCAGAGATAAATTCTAGAAATTAGCAAACGTTATATGTCAAAAATCATTAAGTATTGCAACATCCTGAACCAAATCTTGAACCCAGTAATTAGGAAAAGTTACTTTGAAAATTTGGCGTGCCAAGCTACCTCCCAAGATAAGATTTTCCTATGTTTTTTTTTCAAAAAGGGAGTTATCCTAACTAAGGATAACCTAGCTAGGAGGAACTCGGACGAGAGTAAAAGTACTGGTTTGCAGTAGCTTAGAAACCATCCAACGTCTCTTTTCTGAACGGCGCTACGCTTAATTCATATGGCATGCTTTGCATATCGTATTTGATATTGTTCCACCACCTCAAAGTGCTAGCAATTTATTTGGTAGTTGGTGTAAACAAGGGGACAAGGAAATTAATACTGTATTTCTAATAGGAGTAGGTGCTGTCTGTTGGGCACTTTGTTGGCTCTGAGAAATGATTGTATTTTACAAATGCAAGCCTAAAATGTGTTTACAGGTGCTGTTTAGGGGAACACGGGCTTATACGATCGTATACGATCGTGGATTATAAGCTGAAACAGTATTTTTCTCTCACACCAAACCAGCCAGTAGTACTTCTAATTTATAATCCACGATCATTTCAGCCGAAACGAACAGGCTGATACTAGCTTCAGTTATGAGCAATTACAGCTTAGTGACGACAAGAAGGAACGTTGTATTCAAGCCTGACGTACCTAGAGGCTGCGGCTATTCCTTTTCCCCCCCTCCCATGGATGATCTTTTATGTTTAGGATTAAAGATTAATTTTGTGGGTGAGATTGTGACTGTGAGTTTGGGTTTACTTGTTTGGGAGTGTAAGAGAAACTTGTAAATTTCGACCTGATTCCTCTTCTAGGAGGGTAGAAGCCGGATTGTATTTCTCTCCATTATCTAAAAAGAGGTATGTCAGGCGTTAGATGATTGAGAAGTTGAGGGTAGAAACTGTTCTGAAAGTGAGTAATGTTGATCCCTAGCTGTCTTGCACAGGTAAGCAATTAGCTTACTAGCACACACACTCATTCACTATGGCTAGAGGTAGAAGAAGAGATTGAGAACAGCGCACACACACTCAGCATAAACATCAGCGTCGGCCGAAACCCTACCCTTTGGTTTGTGACAACTGAACTGAGTATTCCATTGCTCTTTGGATGGAATATATACAACTCTAGTTGTACCTCTACCAGGTACATAGTTATTGGCTAAGTATCTACTCCTGAGTACAAGAGTACACCAACTATCTACTCCTAAGGTACATGGTACACCAACTACCTACTCCTAAGGTACAGAGTATACCAACTACTCCTAGCAGTACAAAGCTTACCTCAGTCCACTATCAGGGCATAGATGATGTAATAGCTACCAACTAATGTACTAGAGATGGCCTATTGCAATACTGCTACGGCTACAGGAACTGGTCGACAGAGCCGATCAATCCCCAACTCCCAACAGGGAGTGGTCGGCCGAGCCGACCAGTCTCCAACCAAGGAGAGAATGGGGAGCAGCAAATTATGTCTAACAATTCTTCCCATAATCCTGCCGCTAGCCGATGCCTTGACCTCATACATGCCAATCATCTTCCTCAGCTCCATGAATCGTAGGCGTCCGAGTGATTTGGTGAGGATGTCAGCGAGCTGTCTACCGGTTTCGACAAACTCGATGACGATCTGCCCTCCATCGATGCAGTCCCGGAGGAAGTGGAACTTGATGTCGATGTGCTTGCTCCGGTCATGGAGGACAGGGGTCTTGGCGAGGATGATGGCGGGCTGGTTGTCCACCATCAGAGCTGGCGGGCCAGAGCCGTCGGGCTCTGAGCTTGACCTTCATGGTCACCGCCCATTCGCCATAGTCGGTGCGAGTCAGCGTCGGCCAACTGGTGCCGCTGACCTCCCGCACCGTGCGCACAAGGACCTCCTGTTGTGGCTGGGCAACCACAGCAGCGCCGCTGCTGTCGCCCATCTCCAAACCGTCCGTCATAATCAGTGGTTAGTCCGGCGACGGTGCTTGTACGGCTTTGATACCACTTGTTGATCCCTGGCTGCCCTGCACATGTAAGCAACTAGCTTACCAGCACATACATTCACTCACTATGGCTAGAGGTAGAAGAAGAGATTGAAAACACACACTCAGCACAAGCACCAGTGTTGGCCGAAACCCTGCCCTTTGGTTTGTGGCAACTGAACTGAGTATTCAATTGCCCTTTGGATAGA